GACTTTCGATTGAGGTGCGAAAAGGACCGCCAGGACGAAATTCAAGAACTGTCACGTACTTGTTAAATTAAAAACGAATACTTACTCAAAAAACTCGCTTGGCGCTGCACTTAATTTAAATCGTTATTGTTATTATTCTATGGTTTGAAAGGGTATTATCATTTTTTTGAGAAGTTTGAAACACAAGAATATATTCTTGATGAGCAACAACAGTCGAGTAAATCTAGTCATGTTCGTTTTTACTAGACTTAGTATCTCATTTTTTGAGATTTCAAAATAAAACTTTAAAGATTATTTGTACACTATTTTCTTTCTTATATATGTCGGAACGGTTCAGATCGGATTACTATATTATATAGCTGCCATATTAATGCTGTCTTTTAACAGATTTTCATGTACTGTAAATATATATAATATATGAAAGGAACTTCTATTATTTAATGATTCAATTGAAAAGTGCTAGGATATACAAACTTCGGTGCTCCAAAAGTTTGCTTTTCCGGTTTTCTATATAAAGTCAGTCCGCGGACTGGATTCGCGCTGTGGGCGGCCCTCCGGCTGGGCCACTGTGTTTTCAATTAAAAGGATATGCGCCCAGGATTTCTGTCGGGAGCACACAAATGCCAGGCTGGGCAGGATTCAGGATTCACTTGCGTGCCGCTGACAGAAAAATGAATATACATATACAGATACAGAAATATATATATATTAATTTAAAAACAAAAAAAAGGAACAATTGGGAAACAGAGAAAAAACCGAAGGCAAACTCCTCGAGCCTTAAAGTGAAAGCGAAAAATAAATTAAATGAAAATGGAAAATATGAAAATATGATATAAAGAAGCAAAGTTCCAAAGAAAAACAATGCGATTTTCAGGCATAATTCGCTATAAAAGGAAATTAAGAGCGGCAGCAACCAAAGTCAAAGACAAAAGAAAAATAATCACAGTTTTTAAATTGTTTTTTAGTCAAAGCAAATTGCTTTGTTTTTCATGTTTATTTCAAGAACATTTTCGGAGAAACGTGAATACGAGAGGAAATTATTTAAAATCCGTATATTAAAATCCAAAATTCTTTTAAAATTTCTTTTAAATGAGAAGGCTTCGTATAGACACCGCAAGGTAAATGAAAACATTTAAACAAAATTAAAGCTAATTGAGTTACTCAAGTTGAAAACTTTAACAAAACCCAATAACTGCTCAAAGATTTTGCTGAAATTAAATTCTTACCTATATACAAAGATATTTACTTTGAACCCAAACCCATTTTGGAAAACTTTGTGAAACTACCGAAACGAAACTTCCATTTAAAATCTCGCCTTTGATTAAGATTGTAATCAGTTAGAGGCAGCTGATTATTAGGGATTTTCCCTGGGGGTTGGGGGGGCTGAGGCCCAAGGAGTTTTCCCCAAGGAAAGCTAGCCAAGTTAAAGTGAAAGGGTTCCCAGTTACGGTTGTTTTGGGTTCTTCGAGGCTTGCGGCTTGGGGAGAGACTTTGTTTCCACACATCCCAAAATCGCATGACAAACCACAATTTTTATTACGGAAAGCGGAAAAACTTAATGCCATGTAGTATACTTTTCATTTACTTTGGTGGTTTCGTTTCGTTACGTTTCGTTTCGCAATGACGTCATTGGAGAACTCTTCTCCCCATTCCAATCCATAAATATATAGCAAATATAAAACGAAAGCGAAAAATAATAATAACGTAATAAATGAAAATGAAAATGAAAGTTTTTCCCCACGCTTTTGTTTTGTAAACAGTTTTTCCTCTGTTTAGCCTGATTTATTTATGTTTACATCATATTTAAATATATATATAGTATATTGGAGAATATATATATGTATATGGATATGTGCATATGTCTTGACCTTGGCCAAGTGACTTGAAAGTGAAACCTGATTTGTTGACAAGCGTGAAATTGAACAGGGTCTTAGGGGTTCTGATTGGAAAAATGCCTTCAAGGTTTCTATTTACTCGGCGTTGTTTACTGATTGCGACTGATTTATTTCATTTTCCAGGTCATACTTGTTTATTTCAACATTTTATTGGTAGTGAAAAGTAAATAAAATGTTGTTAATATTTATTATATTATTTTTAAGGTTTATATTGAAGTTTAAAAGAATTCAAAACATACTTGTAGAGCTCAAATTAAATATTTGATGGTATTTTTGGATACTTAAAGATAATTATCCTAGTTTTTTTTAGCATTGGAAAATATTTATAAAGGAAAAATTTAGGGTAAAATATTGAATTGATCAAAAAATATCAAATTTATCGAAAAATGTCGAATTTAAAACACTATTTATTTTATTTGTTTCCTTTTTCTATTATATCTATTCGATATATCAAAAAGTAAATCAATTTATAATACAGAAATACATCACAATTTTTAAATATTTATAAAAATTTATATTTGAACATTGTGATGTATTTCTGTGTGATAAATTAATTTATTTACCTCTTAAAAATCGATAAAGTATCGATAAATTTACATTTCTTCTATCTGTAATTTTATACTTTCTGTGGAATATTTAAAAAAAAAATTCTATACGAATCATTAGAATTGCCTTTTTAATGCCCCATTGAACATCGATGCACACTTCGATTTGTTGGGTTTTGCTAAAATGATATCGCTTACATTATGGCATATGCATTTTATTTATTTATTTATTATATGGCGTTCATTGAGCGAAATAAGCTTTTGCCGCTCGACTGCATCACACAATGTCAATGCTGCTGCGGTCAACCGGGTTGTCATTAATTTTCAATTTCTACTTGTTACGCGACGATTGTTGCCGACAATTAAATGTTGACATTCGAGTGCATCATTTGTCAAGACGCGGTTTGACCCCCTTCACTACGCCCTTTCATGCCTTACTGGTAATGGTCATGGGTTAATCAGTCGACGCCACGTTCAAATTTCATTTAGTTAATTCAATTCCAGGGCACCACGACTACCGACCAACCACCCTTCAAAGTCACGTCCCTGGGAATGCGAAAAAAAGGGAAAGAGGGGGAAAATCGAGGGAAAACTGGGGGAAAAAGCTAGCTGGAAAACGTGACTGAAACGAGAGAGAGAGGATGGACTCTTCTGGGAAAGGTTGACTTTTTGCGGGCTGTCTGCAAACAATCATCGATTGAGGTACATAAAGAGCAGGTATTCCCCAGTAATGTTGCAACAAAAAAATTAACAAGTCATAAAGCAGATTTACATAAAATAAAACAATGAACTGAATGACAAAACAAAAATTAAAACCAACATAAACCATATTTAACCATGAAAACAATTGAAACTTGATTAGTTGAGTAACTCAAGACCTTTGTTTTACTTATTTTAGTATTAAATATTATCTCATCAAAACTTAAGTTACTACGATTTTTTAAATATTGAAATTGAAATAATTGAAAGTCGGTATACATATATTAAATATTTATTTATTATTTACAAAAATGATTTATTCTAAGTCAAAGTATGGCTTTGTTTTATTTAAAACCAAACTTAAGCTTTCCTTTCTTTTTCAGCCTAATCCATTTATTATCCTTAATAATATTATGTTTTTATTTTAATTATCTTTTAAAAAAACAAACATTCCACAATTGTTATCCAAAAATAGTGAAATCTCTCTCTGAATAATGTAAGCCTTTTAAGCTTCTTCACTTTTATGTTTCATTTTCGTTTTGATCTTAAATATTTATGCCTGCATATATTTTCCAACCTGTCATCATTCGCTGAATTGTTGATCCACCGCTTTTTTTTTCCCTAGCACTTTTGTTGATTTCCCCCGAAGCACAGCTGAAAAATGTAAACAAAAAATTGAAACTGAATAATAATCCGTGGGCACAATGATGCAACTAGGCGGGGGGAAAATTGGTAAACTGAGGATTCTCTTAAGATGATAAAATAAAAATAAATGGAAATTTGCTGTCTTTTGACACTTTTGTCCACTGAATTTTAACTTTTCTCAGTATCTCTCTCTCTGATTGGCTTGACCCGGGGTCTTGTCTTAACTTTAACCCCCTCGGCACCTGAACACTCACCTTGCTGGCATGGGTTAAAAGCCTTATATAACCACATTACGTTTCATGCAACGGGTTTCCTAAATAATTAATGCACACAAAAAGCAACAGGCCAGCCATTGTCCAGGTATTGCGGTGCTAGGGATGGCAAAGTTATCGATATCTTATTGGATCGATAATAGGGTTTAAGTATTTCATTACTTTTTACTAAATATCGAATAAGCGATGAATATATTAATTATTATTTTATTCTAGAGAATTTTGTATAGGTGTCGAATACCGAAAATGATTATTTCGATAACCATTAAAAACTAATTCTAATCTAGTTCTGCAAATAATATTTTCAATAATTTATAAACTTTTTTAATACCTTTAACATCTCCTTCTCTAAAAGTGTTCTTTAAAAGAAGTTAAATTTAATATTATGACCGATATATCATATAAAATTTGTCTTCTCTCTTTCTGCCGGACCAAAGACCAAACCGCAGGATAAAGCCGTGGTCCGTTTTCCCCCTCCCAAAAACCGGATCCTGCTGCCTCCTTTTCCAGCCCCAAAACCTGGGGGTAAAGGAGATTCCTTCCTTCCATTTTCCTCTGGTCTCCTCGCATTGGTCTGTGTTGGTGGCTTAGTTTTGACCGCAGCCTTCATTCAACTGCCACTGACAGTTAATAGCCCCCGCCTTCCACTCTCTTACATCACAAAAAGGACGAAACCAAAGCGAGAAAAAGAGATAGAGAAAGCAATACAAAGAGAGAGAGGGAGACAGAAAGAGAGAGAGAGAGAAGGAAACAACGGACATTGGCATGTGAAAAATATGAAAAAATATCCTTTGCAATTAGCCGCATTAAAATGCGTCATTAAAAATTATTTAAGTGCCCATCTTTTGCATTCTGAATTATGTATTATATTGTATTATTATTACCACCCGCAGGCGCTTTCTTTTATTTTTTTGTTACATTAAAATGATTATTCCTTTTTTGTATTTCCAGGTGAGTTTGCGGCAGGATGAATCTGTGAAATCTGGTTTGCTTTGCCCATAAGCCTAAGATTAATGTAAGTTATTATAAAAGAATTTAGAAATTAAGAGTTGCAAATATTAACTTACTTGATTTAAGATTTGGGGAGTATCCTTTGGGGTATATATATCGTATGAAGAGTTGAAATTTTAAACACTTTGAATGGGATTTATAATAATTTTGTATATGAACCTGGGATTAATTAAGTTTTGATAAAAAAATTAATACTTAAGAGTTGCTCAAACAACTTACTTGCTTCGAAATGGGTTTTAAAAAGCTGGAGTTTCCTTTGGGTGATGTTAATTTTTCTTAGAAAGACAATTTGGTACCCTTTAAATGGGATTTAATAATTATTTTATATTAAAGCCTAAGGCAACGAAAGTTATTATAAAGAAAATATCATTTAAATCTTTGCAAATGTTAACTTACTTGCTTAGAAATTTGAGTAGTATCCTTTGAGTTATATATCATTAGGAGAGTGTAAATTTGGTATCCTTTAGAAGGGATTTATAGCAAGACCTACGATTATATTAGTTTTATTAAAAGAATAAACATTAAATACAACTTACTTACTTAATATAAGACTAGTGTTACTTGATTGGAAATTGGTACCCCTTAAATAGTATTCAAATGATTGTTATGCATTTCAATGATTTTGTCCTTGAACCGCTCAAGGTGACCAATAACTTTGATCAGTCCAGCAAATGCCAGCTTTGCAGTTTCGGCAAATCTATCCTTCATTTCCATGGGCTCAAAGAATATAATGAATTCGCATAGCAGCAAACAGGCCAGGACAATGAAGAAGGCCTTCAGGTGACTATTGTGCCAGACGACAGCATAGAAAGCCAAAGGGAGTACCACCAGGAAGGATATAAATTCACCCAGAGAATGGGATAAGTCCAATGTTCGATTTCCAATTTGATCGGCAATAGGTAGATCCAAACATTTGCAGCATTGCGGTTCCATGATTGGATTTTAGATATATATATTTAGAAACACTATATTCGAACTGTCCAGTTTTAGAATGATTTTACTTCTTTTTTGGATATTAGAAATTCAGACTCACTAAAGTTGAAATTTTCAATGGAATGAACTCTGTTGAAATATTAAGATCGATGTATTTTTCAATGCCTTCTGTGATTTACTGTATTTTAAAGTAATTTAAAGCTTCTGTATAGCCAGAGGCCAGGAGTGTTTTTTTTTTGTTCCTCCCCCGCAGCAGGCAATCAATTAATGAGGATCCTTCGTGCTTCGCGAAATTAATTAATTTTGGCCATCCACCCAAAAGCCGGTTCTCTCTCCCTCCCTCCACACCTTCCTTCACAAATATTCATTTTATTTGCGTTTTTATCTCTATTCTTTTGGTGGAGGGGATGAGTGGGTGGAATAAAACAATGAAATGGCCACACAGAAAAGTTTAAATCATATAACATCAATTTTCATTAGATCGTTGACAGGCAGGATGGCCATTTTTCGGGGACTCTGGCAATTAAGTTGATTTCACAAAATCACCGGCTTTGTCCCAGAGGAGCGAGAGAAAATGTTTTGAATATAAAGAAAAATTCGGAATAATAATATATTTATTTCATTTAAAAATATATATCTTGAAAATTAAACATTTTTATTTTTCTAATACAAAATTGTACGGCCTGTAAAATAACTAAAAAGAACTAAAGAAAATGTTTACATATAAAGATAGTTTGAAATAATAACGAATGTATAATATATATTGAAATGAGATATATAAATATTAAATATAAATATAATTAATTAAAAAAACACACATTTTAAAGTCACAAAACTTAAAAAAACTACCATAAATATACATTTTTTACACCATTTCAGGGTAATATAATTTTAGTCAGAAGTCAAAAACTATGTGAAGGAATCATTTGCGACCCTATAAATTATATATATTCTTGATCAGCATTAACCGGGGATCCGATCTGGCTATAACCGGTACAAAACTAAATTTTCGAATTTTTTTCAATTTTTTTTAAGGGGTTACATCATTAAAATTGGACAAAAAAAATTGAAAAATTTTAAAATATTCTAAATTTTATATTAAGTAAGCAGATTTATTAAATTAATAAAAACTAACATGGGACTGCTTTCCGAATTAAAATTAAAGCATTTTTGGCTAAGTTATGAGTTTTTAAATTTTGATTTATCGAAGAAAATGTCATATAAAAATATCGATTAATATCGATCTCAAAATACAAATATTTAAAGCTTAGTTATTATTCATATCCTTTTCGTACCTCTAAATAAATAACTTTTACCTTAGCACAACTAGAAATGTACAACAAAATATTTAACAGTTTGATTATTAAAAATATACCTGTTTTCCTCTAACTTTATTTCTTCTAAAGCTTCTTCTGTCCCTCTGACCACATCCCTGTTTTTTCAGTATTTTGTGTATATATTTTTTTTCTACTTTGGATATATATTATGTTTTGTCTTGGGCAAAGAGGCACAACAAAATTAATTGCATACAAATAGGCGTCAGCAGTTGGGTTCTAGGTAAATAAATTAGTTTTAGGGGCTGTGGGAGGAGTGGAGATGCCGCAAAGGATGTATTGCTTTTCAGCGGGTGGGGAAAAGTGGAAAATGCAGGCGGGGAAAGTGGGGAGACTAGAGAACAGGGTGACAATGGCCATCAGGTGGGTGGTTTTTGTTTGTCGGTGGTGGCAATGGTGGCGATGGCATATTCCTCGGCTTCCGGCACATGCTGGAAAAGCGACAAGCAAACAAAACAACAACTTTAAGCTTTAACGGAAGCAGCGACTAAAGCTGCGACGGAAAAGCGCGGGGTGGAAAATGGAGAGGTATGTAAGTAAGAAGCCACAGTCACGACAGCAACACGCACTTGGAAAATCATCTCAACCAGATGGGGTTCTGATGGGATTCTGGGAAAATGTCACCAAACATTGCTTAGATAAGTTTACTAAATATGTCAGAGGAGAAGATTGGGGGGAAAAAGGAGTCTTTAAATAATGATATTGATATGTGAGAGATGCTTGGGGAAAATGGGTTTTCCCCAGCGGAGAAAACTGTGCCATATTTTCAATTACCATTATTCATGGAAAATAACCTTATCTTGGATATATATAATATTTAGATTATCTTTTGCGAACTAAGTGGGTAGTCTCCTATTATTTTTCAAACATCTTTCCCCACTTTTTCACAATTTTCCAGGCAAGCCAATTAGGTAGCACTCCAGTTTTTAGTGTCTTTTGTGAAATTTCCTAGTTTCGGGAAAAATGCAGCAAAAGTTTCGCTTTTCCACGCGTTCGCCTTATCACGCTTTAGAGCATTTTGAGTTTGTTAAACTTTGTTGTTGGAGTTTTTCAGAGTTTTCCTCCAGATTTGAAGATGTGAAGCGGGAGCAAGATTAAAGAAAAAGGCGAGTGAAACTGAAACCCCATTGAAAGGAGAAGCCAAGATGGGTAACTGTCGCCTCGCATTTTCCTTGCCTTTTCCCTCTCTCATTTATTTCATTCCATTTCAATTTCGCGCTCATTTCATGCATATGATTTTAATTTTAGCTAAACATATGTATGCTTTCCCTTTCCCAACACCCCCTCCCCCTGAATTTTCCATTTCCCGAGATTTTCTTGCTTCGTAAGGAGGCGTCGCGTTTCGCTCTTGGATATTCCTTGGCTTGTAATTGAATTTGTTTTTCCCAGAGAAGTGAAAATGGAATTGCCAGCCCGGCAAATGGCTATATATCTGCTCATACATCAGTTGTACATATAAATATATATATTTATGCACTGAGAGAAATAAGTAGAAGATCTTTTATAGAGAATTTAAGAGAGCAGGAGGTATTTGGGTTTGCATTTGAATAGTATTTATATTCGGAGGTTTCTGTTTTTAATTGTATTAAATTGTATTTTGTATTTTAATTGTATTAAAATATATAGACATTATAGAAAAGAAAATATAGAATATAGAATTATATAGAATATGGAAATATATATAGTATTTCTCCAAGTGTCTGTCTATTTATCTTATATGTATGGGGACATATGGACTCCCTGTGACAGCTGGCAAGCGGCAGGTGGACCCTCAAGCCTCAGGCCAGCCAACCGAGTTGGAAGCCAACAAATCATAAATGCCATTACAAGGAACACAGAATGTGGCCAAAAGGAGGAAGGGGGCAGGAGAAGGAGCAGCAGGAGTAGAAATTGTTAGCCAGTTGAGGGTGAAAGGGGGAGCCTTGTGGCAAACTGTTGCACAAAATTCCGTTGCACACTTTTTGTGGTGAGTTAGTTGTCCAACAGACTACGACACCCATTTCCAAAAGCCCTCCAAAAGAAGAAGCGAAAGGACCAAAATAATTAGGTTCAAAAAGGCGAATGCAAATCCAATAAAAAACCCATAAAAGGATAACATATCTAAGCACTAGGAGAAAATTTAGTTCTTGGGCTAACGAGAACTATGAAATTGTTTGTGGCAAATCCATTTTTTTAGTCGGAGTTTAAATAGTTTCTGAGGTAAAGAAAAATTAGGAAATATTTTAGTTAATATATATTCTGGGTTTCAGACAATATTTTAAAATAAATAATGCTCGTTAATGCTTAAATCAATAATTAAATACTAGCTAAAGTAAATTTAATAATTTTTTAAATTCTATCTAAAGCTAAACAAAAGATATCTTAATTTTATTAATCAAACCAATTTTCAAGCTAATTTCCCAGCTTTTTGCAAATCAAAAAGGAAACCATTTTTCGGGTGCATTTTAGTTGTGTGACAAAAGGACAGCATCTTGAGAACTTTGTTCCCCTTGTTGGGCAGCCAGCAGGATAATCAAGCTTAGCCAGAAGCAAGAGCTGAATTTACGACTGTTGACAATGTGTGTACAAAAGTTGCGTCACTTTTTACTGCTGCTGCCCAGAAATGAAACGACGTGTGAAAGTTACTGACAGGGGAGATGGAAATGGGAAATGTAGAATGGAAATGGATGTGTTGGGAAATGGTGGGAGTCCCTCATATACTACTCTCTCTCTCTCTCTCTAAATATATATATATATACGAAGGGATGGTAGGGATCCTATCCCTATCCCTATACCGGATGCGGGTGCTGGTTGAATTTATGCAGACGGCTTGGAAAATTTACAACTATTTTTATGAAGCTAAGCGGGCGGTGTGTCCAAGGACACGAACAGCTTTACGGTGGCAACATGCCCGAATATCCTGTGGAGCACACAATATATATGTGTATATATACAAACATACATGTGAAAATATATATAGAAAGAGAAGGGTTTATGCTTCAGCAAAGATTAGGAAATTGATTTTAAAATCAATCAAAGTGGCTGAGCGACAATTTTATGAAAAAGTTTTATAGGTGGGTCAGGGCTGCCAACTCGCTTGCGTGCGTCTTTAGTCCAAAGAACGAGCTGCCAACTAAATAAAAAAAAAAATCGAGGAAAAAAAGCAAGTTTTTCCTAACTGACTTTAATCACGACAAACTAAGTACAACATGGAAATATAGTGCAAATGTTGCTGTTACCTTTTTATACTTTTGAAGAAAGTTTTTAATGAGAAATTCAAATATTTAAACTACTTTGAAGCTAGGAAAATCTTTTTCAACTTTTTACAAAGCAAATACTTTTAAGAAATATTTATTTAAAGACATTTATATCCTTCCTGATATTTAAAATGGTGAAAAGGTGGTCCCCAAAGATATTCCCTGAATTATCCCTTGAGTTATGTTCGTTGTTAATTGGAAACTAACTTGGTTATGCCGAAGTTTATATATTCTTGCAGTTTGCAATCGAATTATAGGATTGTATTGGAAATTTAACATAACTAGGTTAAAAATATTCGCATTCATTGAATAAATTTTTATCCATATTTTGAATATGACAGTTTTTGTCGAGAAATCAAAATTTTAAAAACGTATAACTCCGCCAAAAAAATTTTAATTTTAATTCGGAAAGCGGTCCTATGTTAGTTTTTATTAGGGTAATAAATCTGCATACTCAATTTAAAATTTTGAAAGTTTTAAATTTTTTGTAAAATTTTTGATCATTTTAACGATGAAACCCCTTAAAAAAATGTTGGAAAAATTTTGAAAATTTTTCTTTCTCTAAAATATAG